CTCCTGCTTCTGCTGCTCCAGGGCCTCCCGCTGGGACACACGCTTGACCCGGCAGCTGGCCGCGTAGCCCCGGTTCTTGAGGGTGCGGCGGCGCTGCTTGAGCTTCTGGATCTCGTCACGGGAGAGGCCTCGCAGGTGCATGTTGAGCTCGCGCACAGACAGGGACATGAGCTCGCTGTCAGACAGGAAGGGCACGTTCTCTCCACACTCCTGCTTCACCTGGATACAACAATCACAACAACAAAGACAACAATAGGCTAATGAGACAAGCACTTTACTTTCAATCTAAATATTATCCCATCCCTCCTTAATAAAATCACATTAGGCATTATTGTCATTGATCTATATCTATCTATATCTATATATATATATAACATGGCAATAAAAAGAAAAACACTTTATGCCAATTTTTCAAAACAGACAGACTTGCCTTGAAAAACATACACTGTAACTGAGTGGGGTCACTTCTCCACAGATTTTATCTGTAACCAGGCATACCTGTTTGTCCCCATGGAGATAGATATATTTGATGCTGTGGAACGTTCCAGACAAGGTTGCAGAAAATGTATGTAGTGCATCCTCTAAGACTGGGCAGAGACTATAGATCTATTAATGCATGTATTTAAAAAGACCGATAAATAATAGTTGATATTGATTGGTCCTTTTATATCAAATAATTATATTGATTAACTGTTAACCATCAGCTTGATGCCATCATTTCATAACAAATGGGCTGCATATGCGATCTATTGAAAGGAGTAAATGTAAGCTATGAATAACATAGACTTTCTTGTAATGTATTTTAGTAAATGCAGTTGAGGTGCCCTTTTAATACCATACCTTTAGAGCTTTGCTATTTCTCTCCATCGTCATGATCTTGAGTCTTGGGTTCACACGTTACAACACCAGTCGAACACACAGACACTCTAAAAAAAAGCAAAAAAACATAAGAATATTTAGTAATTCATTAATCTTTCACATAATCATGTGAGATAAAGAGCCATGTGCCTTGACCATATTGTACACAACCAAAAGCAGAAGTAACAGTGCATTCATGCTTCTCTAAAAAAGTGCGTGTTCATTTAACTCTGGTGTGATGTGATAGAAAAAGAGGAGCCGGGTCTTTTGTGTGTTCGCTGGAACACAGAGGAGGAAGTTATCATGTGTCTGGCCCCTGGTTACTTAAAAGCAGGTGTCCCAACCAATCCCCTCCACACTTCCTCTTGTCAACACCACACCAACGGTTCAAGGCTTTGTAAGACTGAAAATGGGGCTAGGTGGATCATTTTCAACTTTTACTGTAAATACATACACGAGATGTTTGTGTGCTAAAGTGAAATTAGGCTGGGTAACTTAAAGCTAATTGCATGAGTTGAGTTTTAAAAACAAGGTTTACAAAGTGCTGTACAAGCCGCAAAGGACAATACAAAAAGCATAAACATGGCATACAGAAAGCATAAAAAACAGACAAAGATGCAAACAATTCAATTAAAGTAGGGAACATTCTGGAATTTCCATTCTAAATAGAAAGTTAAAAACCCTACTTAAGAAGATTTTCCAAGGAGATAGATAAATTCTATGCCATACTGTGGAACATTAAAGCCAAAGGAACAACATTTCCATGGAAACATCATTTTCCAAAAAACATACAATCCGTTAGTTTATTTTTGCCAAAAAGTTATTTACTGTGGAATAAAAAGTCTATGTTGTTTATAGATTATTTACTGAACTAAAAGTGGGGACTTGTCATTACTTCCAGGGAAAATCCAAAAGGGTACTAAATAGAAACATTGTGGAACACCACCTGACAGCTTACTTTCATTGGTTTCAGGTTTAGCACTGTTGTCACAGCCATTATACAAATATTATATATTTTGAAAGAGCAAAAGTTTTCAAAATATCACCTATTAATGGTTTCAGCCTTCTGCTATAGGTGACATTTTGGAGGAGTTTCTTACCATTCTAAAAGATAATAAAATCTTTTAAATAATTTGAAATCGCTTTGGTAATGGTCCTCATTTTGCATGATTTGGAAATCAATAAAAAATACCAAGATGTATATTTAAAATCTTAAATCTTGCTGGAAAAATTTGTCCAAATATTAGCTGGAAAATTAGCAGCTTTCTCCTTGTTTACTTAAAAGCATTATACACAGTTGGTAGGTTAACAAGACTTAATTCACTACCTTCTTCCTCTAGTCACACAGCAGTCACCAGACCAGAGGTGCTTTCCCAGCTTACTTATTCTTAGCTATTGTGGCAACTTTCTTTGTTTTGCAACGCTGGACTTTCTCAACTGACCAAATAGACAAGTTAATCATCCATAGCTGTTAAATGGAGTAACATGATTGGTGTCCCCCCACAGTCCCATGTCTTCTCTGAGGTAATGGCTGGCCTTTTGATGAGCTAACTTCTCACAAATATGCCCACACTTCTCCATTGCAGTCTTGTAGGGTCGAGTCTAGTTTATTTTTGTTTCCCATCATTTCAGACTCTTTCCTTCTGTAAATCTTCAGACCGCAGCCTTCCAAAGAGGGTCACGACTTTTGTTTTCTTAGCTGGTGCAATTCAGAGGAAGGACATGTGAGGTTTGGTAGGGTTTAATTAAAGGCGCTCTATGGAACTTTTCTGGTGGGGGGATAGTGGGACAATATAATGTTGAGTTTGGAAAAAAAAATGCGGTCTACATTTCTAAAAATCACCATCTTAAAAGGAACATCTGCTTGTCTCTGAAGATTTTTGTGCTTTGTCTGAAATGTTCCACAGTACGGTATTAAACGTGCCCATCTTCATTGCAGACTAGCAGGTAGCACCAGGAGGTCAAATCACAGGTTAGATCTGTGGAGAGGCAGCTCCACTCTCCACAAGTTTTTCTGAGGCATTTTTGAGCAATACAAACATCTGTAATTGAAAAGATAATGCTATGCTGTTGAACATTCCACGCAGAGCAGAAATTCTAGAAAAGAAAATCAGGTGGTGGACCCTCTGCCGTAAAGGCTACACAGTGCGCCTTTAAAGATGGTGATATTTTCTAAAAACGTTGACAGCAAAAATTATATAAAAATACCTGCCTTTTAGTTCAATTTCTTTCATTTGTCATTACATATTGTGCAAAGTTTACTCAGTTAAGCCAAAATGTTACTAGAATAGAATATAAACTAGTTCTATCATGTTTTGTCATACTTTTAAGCCACACACTAGGTCTGCAACTAATGATTATTTTAGAAGTCAAATAGTCAGCAATTATTTTTTGCTTAGTCAACTATTCATTGTTATTTATTTTTATTGTACACTGAGTTAAATCAAATAAAGCATGAAATGTGCTGACTGAAGACTTTTAGAATATTTTAGAAACAACTCATTCGTCATTGACATTTTGATTATAACAGCGGTCTTTTTTTTTTTTTTTTTTTTTAGCTTTTTGTGTTTTAAAGTCTCTATAATCCAGATTACAATGATCAAAGTATGATTACGATTATTTTAATAATCCATTATTCATGTAATAGGGACACAATGTCAGTGTCTGCTCAGGTAATATTTGAACCAATTACCCTCTGTTTTGTAGATGGAATAATTTTTTGGACACAGATTAGCAAAATTTAATGATACTTCACATCTGATCAACATTACCATTCCCTGAAGGTGTGATGCGATCTGTAAGCACTGCTTTATCTGTGGGTTGTTAAACTTTAATCTGATCTTTATTTTAAGACAATTTGACACAGCATTCTATAGGCCAACAAAGGACAGATTTTCTTGTAATACAGGGAGTTATCTGGTGTGATTGTGAATAGAAATGATCAGTTCAATTTTATTTTATTTTTTTAACATTACATTTACTTTCTTATAAAAGTACTATGTTATCAATAGGGAAACCTGTCCTCTGCCCCCCAGCTGGGAGCATGACATAAGCACATTTTATAATCTGAAAGTGAAAACCACCAACAATAGCTGGAACCGGATTGAATTCAATTTGCATAAAGCCTACTAAGGTTATTGGTTACTCATCTTCAGTCATTATAGTAAGAGATAACAGACCCAAATATTATGTAGGCCTACTTCAAAGCACCTGCCCATAGTGCCCCACAGTTTGCTGACCCCTGCACAGCATTTCCCGAAAGGCGTGGGAAGCGGTAGTCCGAGCAGCGGCAGCAGCAGCCGCCGTAAACTGCCGAGACCGCCGCCTCCCGTTTCGTAAAGTCAGGGTGATTCAGCAAGAAACGCTCAGCCATGCTCCACGAACCTCAGCCCAGTCTGCTCCATGATCCAAGAAAAACACCCGCCGCCATGACGAGGGCATTTCTCCAATGTCTCGCCACTTCCACGTTCATAATTTAACCAGAAATATCACTCTATAACGCAGTAAAAGAATAAACCGATCGCCTTAAAGATCAGCAGCAAGTGAACACAACACTGGTAAATTACATCACGAGAGCAACAGGAATGTGTTTAACGAATACATTTAGATAATACAAGGAATACAGAGCGTGTGTCTAGAGGAGCAGAGGGCTAAACGCCTCCTCTGTAGTAAACAGCCATCATCATGTGCTAGCCATAACATTTTTTCTCAACCTTTAAATGTCAGCAAGAAGTCAGGCGGGGGAGGACAACTGTATGTTAGCCTAAACGCATTTTAAACACAAATGTGAGCGTTTAGAGGCCATATACCCAACAGAATCCACACATGCTAGTAACATTAGCACCTTTAGCATCAGCGGTTTGTGACTTGCTAAGGAGATTAACGCAAACAGCTGCCTGCTTATTTGTCCTTGGTCAGCGCCGAAGCACCCGGAGGCTCGATGCGATCGTTCGCTCTATCTCAAAGCGACACAATAGCACATTTTTAGTAACATAATGATTAAGTGTATATTTACCTGCCGAGCCGAAGCGAAGCTGGCGACAAAATGTCAGTCCGCCTTTTCCCGGAATTACTCCGCTGCTTTCTGAGGTTGGATTCTTTCATTCATAAAAAACACAAGCTACAATGACGTCAGGTCTAAAGAATGAGGGCGGAGCTAACCCCGCCCCCGCGGCGTACTCTGAGGATGTAAACAAGGGTTCCCTAGGTCCAACTTTTCCACTGTCTGTGCTTTCACTGCTCTCAGCAATAACAGCTTCACTGGAGCTGGAATGAGGGAGTTTAAAGAACACAGGAATGTTTGTCTCTCACATGGCTCACACAGCTATTTCAGACTTCCCAGGAAGAGAAGTAGACACCAAAGTTTGACGTGATGCAAAAGGCATATTGAATGCTTTTCACACTGCATTCATGCAGCTGTATGTGGTAAACTATGTGAAGTGATTTTATGTAACTAATGACAGTTATAACCTACCTATAATGTGTTTGTTATACAGGTAAAAGTTTTATATATTAATTGCTTTCTGTTATTAATTAATTTTAATCATTTCAATTTGATACAAAAGAAATTAAGCCTCTATGTCCTATAATTATGTAACAGTAATTGGTTTCTAAAAATATGTACTCATTCCTTCATCAAATGGCCCTCTTGAAAATAAAGCCTCTCAAGAGGCAATCCAAATAATAGTAAAAACATCTAGAATTTGAAAGACACCAATTTTTAATATAGTTTTATCTTATGCGCTGCTACAAACTGCTATTACACTGCCGCTCTGCATGGTGGCGCTGTTTTTTCTAAGCCCTATAGAAAATGACCTCTGCCCCTCTCCGTCATCGACCCTGAAGAGCCTCACGTTTTCACTCCGTGACCTCCGATTTCATTTAGATTTACATTAAATTTCTTTAGAATAATCCACACTATTGTAGATCTTGAGCTTGTTTGTGGTTTATCTCTCACTCGGACTTTTGTCGGTCTTTACTTGGGCTCGCACAGGGCACCGCACAGGAGCACATAGTAGAGGAACATGTCCGGGATCGAGGAGCTGTCCCCAGCCGCGGGCCCGGTGTCCACTCGGCCCCCGGAGGACGAGATTGACGACGACGAAGATGAAGATGTGAGTGGCGGATCGTCGTTCCCGTAAAAAGAGTTTTGGACGTTTTTGTTTAAACATGTTCTACTCAATTATTACGACTAAGCTTAGGCCAACACTGAAGGCAAGCTAATGGGAGTTCCTTCAGACCTTGCAGGACACATTTCCAGTAGTACCAATGGATTATTTCAAAGAAAACCAATATTCAGTGGATAATTTACTGATGCAGTTACTGCATGTTTTATCATTTGGTTAGTTTACGTGTTATTCATGATGTTCTCATGTTTTTCCTTACAGTTGGATGAGACTTTGGCAGAGAGGTTGTGGGGCCTTACAGAAATGTTCCCAGACACAGTGCGGACTGCAGCTGAAGTGTCCGCGCAGTGCTCCGTTTCACTGGCCAAGAAGCTTTATAGGTATATTTGCAAAGATTGTTAATGCTGTATTGTCCATTTTCTGGTCTATACCATAGAGTGTATATATAAACCCTAAACCGTCTTTATACAGTCTATGATCTATACAGACTTTAAAATACATTTAAATAGACCTTTTATAACATAGATGGCAGCCTTATTACATGTAAATGCCTAGAAGAATTCAGTCACCATCTTTCAAACTTTATGTGGTTGTTATCCAATCAAAAAAACAATGCTGACGAGTAATCAGTTAAGATAATTGTTGGATTCAGCCCTAATGTAATAACATATTATAGACCCCTTATAAAGGCCTGTAGTGCTTAATAGAACTGCAATAGTGGTACAGTGGGTTAAGTCCTACCCATCCAATAACCAGACATTTCACCCATATTACCTTGTTACTGTATGCTGGACAGGAAAGGACAGCCAGTGTATATATCTGTGTGACTTGTACGCTGTGGCATTTTAATGATATATTTAAAAAATTCTTCCAGTTTTTCCCGTGCTGCACTCTGGGTGGGTACTACATCCTTCATGATCCTGGTCCTGCCGGTTGTGTTTGAAACAGAGCGACTACAACTGGAGCAGCAGCAGCTTCAGCAGCAGAGACAGGTGCACATGTTATATCAAAAACACTTTACTTACAGATCTATCTTACAAAACCACTGACAAATGCATTACTTTTTTATTTTGTATTTAGATCCTACTAGGGCCCAACACAGGGATGTCTGGAGGGATGCCTGGGATGATGCCAGCAGCTCCAGGCAAAATCTGAGCATCGTCCTGGGCCCTACACGGACCTGAGATCTGCTGCTAACCCTGCGCCACGGTCATGAGGAGAGACAGGGAGACCAGATAGAATGGACGAGCTGCACTACACAGGATCAGGCTGAAGTCAATCTTGTGGGTTAATCTCTAATCTAATTTGAAGGAGAAAGGACACGTTCTTCTATATCTTACTGTCTCTCCTCAAGTCAACATTATGCAGAGACTTTCAAGGAGCACTGCTTCATGGTTTTGTCTTCTTTCTTTTTTTTAATATCATAAATATGTTTAGGTGGTAGCAGAATCAAGTGTATGAGACAAAATGTGGTATGGATGTTTTATGTGTTGGTGTTTTGTCCAAGGAAAAATGCTCTTTGGACTTTAAAAACTCTACTCTGCTCAGTGGTTGAAATGGTTGTAGCTCACTGGTTTGTTAAGGCTGTTCAACGTTACCATCATTAGATCAAGTATAAAATGTGAATGCAGTGGAACAGAAAAATGCTGAATGTTACTAAGTTAATAGCACTGCATTTCCAAATAGAACATGTCATTATTCTGGTTCCACCATCCAGTGCTTGAAGTAAATTATTTGCTGTAGGTAATTACAATTCTACTCAAGAGTTCCAGTTTACTGATGAAACAGGACCATGTCTCTAGTACATTTTGCAATTATTTGTCAAATAAAACACCAATTCAAAGAGTAATGACTTGTGTGTTATTGACATATTTTTTGGCATTGTCATTTTATCTGGGGAATAGAACAAGACAGTTTGAAATATAATATCCATAGTAATATCAATTTTGCAAGCAAATTAAAAGTAGTTCATATCCTTGAAATCACAGCTGACAAATGGAAAGTCAGGACAAAAATGAAATAACATTTTACAAAGCGGTAAACATGTCTAAATTAGTCATACCTGCAGCATAAAGCCAATAAACCATTACTCAGTGATGAAAGGTAACAAAGTACAAAAGTGAAAGTATAATATCCATCCATCCATCCATTTTCTTCCGCTTAACTGGGGCGGTCGCGGGGGAGCATTCTAAGCAGGGACTCCCAGACTTCCTTCACCCCAGACACGTCCTCCAGCTCCTCTGGGGGGACCCCGAGGCGTTCCCAGGCCAACCGAGAGACATAGTTCCTCCAGTGTGTCTTGGGTCTTTCTTGGAGTCAGGAGAGTATAATACTTAAGTACTAATTTTACGTGTCTGTACTTCAGTAAATTTTACAGTGGATACTTGTTACTTTTAATTCACAACATTTGAGAACGTGTATCTGTACTTCCTACTCCACTACAATTTAGATCTGAACTGAAAAGTAAAAAGTACTTTTCTTATGGTTTGAGACTTGTTGAAAAGGCTATGACTTAACCTTTTTATCCCATTTAATTTGAGTTAACATCCCAACTTTGAGCAAACCAAATACACAGAAGTGGCTAGAAAAAATAACAAATAATTTGAATCAGTTAAAATCTGCTAAATTCTTTATCATTGTCAAATTCTTTATTCTTTAATTGTTCTAAAAATCCTCTGCACTCTTTAAGAACAGTTTTAAACAGGTACTTCAATATTTTTACTGAAGTACGTTTTTTCATGTAATATTTTTACTTGAGTAACTTTTTTTACCTTTGTATTTGTACTTTTTCTCAAGTAAAAAAAATATAGTACTTATGCACCAATGCCATGACTTTACATGCTTGTAGTTGTAGTTGAGCAAATTCCCACGTAGGGACACTTGTGCGCAGACTATGGTGCGCAGATACAGTAGCGTGGCTTTCAATGATATTTGAAATTCAGACGATGTTGGATAGAAAGTCGTGCTGTTACGTTTAAAAAAACAAAAACAAAAACAAAAAACTTAATAATACAATATTTTGTTTTTAAATAAATAAATACACCTACATATAAAGAAAATAAAGCAATAATATTAGCTTGATATATTTTTTTTACCGATTTACTACACATGAGACTGGTTTAGAAGTGAGTATTTCAGATTGCCCTTAAAATCTGAAATAATAACCCGCCAGTAAAAGACCCGCGAAACTGTTTAGTTTACAAACGTCTTCACTTCCATAACCTGGCATCATCTTTATTCTACCCTTCGTCACCTTAATTTTTTTAAATTTCGAAATAAATTAATACTTTTAAATGGACATTTGTTATTTGAAAAGGTAAACTTGAAGTAACAAAAAAGCTAGCATCTAAGAGCTAAGAAAACGCTAGTGAACTAACCACAATGAAGATGTCCGAAGATCAAGTTGTTGAAGATGACTCTGGCTACCACGATGATGAGGTAAAATAGATCAGCCAAATTATCTTTTATGGCTAATCATAACAGTATAATCAATACAGTATCTGCATCTTAACAGGAGTCATTTTTCCAAGATATTGACCAGCTACAAAAACATGGAATTGTAAGTTGCTTTAAAGTCCTATTGTTTTAAAATAATTCTCCAATAAATCTCCAAACTACCCTTTCTTTCTCTTTCTTTCAGAATATGGCCGACATCAAAAAGCTTAAGTCAGTGGGAATCTGCACTGTGAAAGGTATCCAGATGACTACACGAAAAGCTTTGTGTAATATCAAAGGTTTATCAGAGGCCAAGGTGGAAAAAATCAAGGAGGCTGCTGGGAAAATGCTGGTAAGTTATTTATTTATTTAATTTTGTCTAATTAATACATACATATTGGGTGTTATATATTAAAATGTTTGTTTTTTGTTTTTACTATACCCAGACTATCGGTTTCCAGACTGCTTTTGAGTACAGCGCGAAGAGGAAGCAAGTGTTCCACATCACAACTGGAAGCCAAGAGTTTGAGTAAAGATTTAAAGCATTATGTAATCTATTGATACTTTGCAGTGACATGACGCTGGGTGTGTTCTACATGTATCTCCAATCGTGGAATGTAGGTGTTACCACGGTGACAAAATACACACATTGGCAAACACTGCCATAAAGTTTTAAGTTAGTCTGAAAACACAAGGAAAAATACAAAATGGATTTACACAACATATTTTCAGGACCCTGTACATATACATGGGTGGTGGGTGTAGGTGTTTGCTTTTCAACAAAAAGGTGAGAGTGAGTGAAAAACTGTTGGCTAATGTTCTCTATCTTGTTTAATTTTATGTGCGAGAGACTTGTTTAACAGCACAAATCATCTCACCTGTTGTAGTTCCAGCTAAGTCAGCTCTTTACGGTCAGATTGTGTTAAAATAAAGCACAGATTAAAGTCTAATAAAGCCTCAGACAGGGCAGAGCCTACAGTTAGCATCACACCCCCAGAGAATGTTGTTGACGTCAGCTGCAAAGTATCACTGGGATGCATTCATGTGCTAGAATTTGATTTCGCAATTTCAGATTGAGGTCAACGGCCTATATAATGCAATGCAAAATTTGCGAGACTGTTAGAAGAAAAATCCAAACTTATGATCCAGAAAAGTTGAACCTTATCATTGGAGGTTGGCTCCACAAACTTTCCATATTAAAGTTATGTCTTAATGTCCTTTCAACTGACAGCAATCTCATCTTTGGAGTTGAATAATTACATCACTTTCTGAAGATCAAGTGAAAAAATTATTTCAGTTTCTTTTTTATGCAGAGATGATCTTTGTGCCAGTTTATGCTTCATGAGGATAAGCCGAATGGTTGCAGAGATACTAACCATAAACCAAGTCAACAAATCTGCAATCTGACTGTTACACAGTAAATTCTACCACAGAGTTCTGGCCTGTCCTCAGCTCAGTTTTAACCTATAGGGATTCTACAGTGTTTTGATGTCAAATGAACAATGACATTACAACATTCTATAGGTCAATAATATTTAATACAGACATGGGTGGCTAAAATGAATATTGTTCAAAAACAGGTTTTGTTATAATACAGTGAGTATTTGGATCAAGTCACTATTAAATATGCTCAAGTTCAACATTTGTGAATTTTATCTTATGGATTTTTCATGGCAAAGTACAAAGAAATCATGCTCTTGCCCCAGAGATGTCATACTGAGAGTATGACAACAACACATTCTAAAATCTGAAAACTACCAACTGTAGCATATTTCAATTCATGGTGTATAGACTAGTTGTATTAACGTCTGCATATTTCTGCAGTAAACTGCTGGGTGGAGGAATTGAAAGCATGGCCATTACAGAGGCATTTGGAGGTGAGAGAAATTATATTGTGAAAGTTATTATAGTCTGAAAGTGTCCTATGTTAAGTGTGTATTAAATCTTTTGAATTTATTGTAGAGTTCCGCACAGGAAAAACCCAGCTTTCTCACACTCTTTGTGGTACGTAGCAGGCCTCATCATAATTGCACATTCTGTTAGTATTAAATATTTAAATTTGATCATATATTTTATCTTACAGTCACCGCACAGCTGCCTGGAGAAGACCGTTATACAGGCGGGAAAGTCATTTTTATTGACACAGAGAACACTTTGTATCCTTAATAATTGACACATTTCACGATTATGAATAGAGGTGGGGAGAGTAGCCAAAAAATTTACCTAGAGTCATTTTACTTCAAAGCATTGGTGGATTAAGTACTCAATTTTGTTACTTAAGTAAAAGTGGGCCAGAGATTACTCAAGTAAAAGTATTGTATGAAAAAAAAGTATTTTGCAGTCATTTTTTGGAATAGTATAGCATCAAATGTAGTTATTTTATAAGGAATTGAGCTGATTTTAAGTGGTTCAATTGATTCTTAATTTTTGTAGCTGTTTTGTGTATTTAATTTGCTCAAAGTTCAACTTTAACGCAAATTAAATCAGCTAAAAGTAGGTCTCAGCCATATCAGTAGGTTTAAATCCATAAAGAAGAGTACTTTTTACTTTTCTGTCAGATCTAAAATGTAATGGAATAAGAGTACAGCACTTAAATGTAGCAAAGTAAAAGTAAAAAGTATCCACTGTAAAATTTACTTAAGTAAAGCACTGATATCTAAAAATTGCACTTATATCATATATTATATATATTATATTATATTATACTATATTATATTGTACTTTGTTACTTTCCACCACAGCTTGAAAATAATATTACTGAAGTAGAAGTATAAATAAATTACACAAGTAAGAGTAAAAAAGCAACTGGGGGGAAAAAAAATACTACTTAAGTAACAGTAACTTAAAGACCAACTGTTAGGAGATAACATCTGATTTATAATTTAATGTGAATGTTATTAGATGGACAAAACATGAAATAGTGCTAAAAAATCTGGTATTTTCACTGCTCTGAAGAAGCAGTGCAAGAAACATAAATGTTGAAGTCATTTCATATTGTCAACATAAAGCTTTTGTCATTTGTAGACTTACTCACAGTAGGCAGAGTAACCAAAACATTTTCTAAGAGTACTTTTACTTCAATAAAAATAGACAATAATATATAAAAAGTATGCTGCTAAAAAGTACTTTGAAAGTACAGTTTCTCAAAGTCAACCAAAGTAAATTTAACTGAGTAATTATTAATATGAACGAGCTAGTGCTTTATGAAACAGCTCTTCATATCCTTGACTTGGCTTGTGTCTAGTCGCCCTGACAGACTGAGAGATATTGCTGACAGGTTCAATGTGGACCATGATGCAGTTCTGGACAATGTGCTGTATGCCCGCGCCTACACAAGTGCGTCAGAGCTTGTACTGCATTGTCTATTTTACAATTTGGGATAAAGTCACTCAAAGTTAAGGTTTTGTCTTTAGGTGAACACCAGATGGAGCTATTGGACTTTGTAGCAGCAAAATTTCATGAGGAGGGTGGAGTGTTCAAGCTGCTGGTAAATACATGGATACATATTATGTAACCTGAATAATAAATTCATAATAGGTTGTGTACATGTGGTGTCATAGCATAGGTGCCTGTACTGTGAGTGCCTCTTCTATTACATAAGGCCGAGTAATGGCATGAAAGTATGAACTCAACTAAAACTAGGCAGCACAAATAAACTAAGGTGGCAAATACTAAGTATTATATCTATGTTATATCTTTTGAATAGGAAAAAAATCTCAATCAGTTGCATATAGGAAGCACAGACTTAAGGATACCAGAAAGTAGTTTAGTCATGATACAAAAATTTCAAACTCCATTTTGATACCAAGAAATAGACTTGATTCTAATGATACCACAAAGATAATGAAAGCACTCTTATACTTGTTCTGATACAGCTCAATTTCATTCTAAAGCTATTTAGAATGTACACCTTTTAGTACAGCTTGCTCAAATTAGTAAATTTTGTAGTTTTAACAGTTTTAGTGTCTGATGTTCAATACTTTTGACAACCATATTCCCGATACTGTTTCTCTGTAATAGATAATAGACTCCATCATGGCCTTGTTCCGCGTGGACTTCTCCGGCAGAGGGGAGCTAGCTGAGAGGCAGCAAAAACTAGCTCAGATGCTCTCCAGGCTGCAGAAGATCTCAGAGGGTAATTATGACGAGGGTGCAGTCATACGATATCATAATTATAGGATGTTTGTTGGGTTTATTGTTCTCATTTCACTTCAGAGTACAACGTGGCTGTCTTCGTCACAAACCAAATGACCGCTGATCCTGGAGCTGGAATGACGTATGCATAGTTTTAACTCAAGATCTACAGGTTTATTGGAAAATTTGTTTATGTGTTTGTATATATTTTTTCAGATTCCAGGCTGATCCAAAGAAGCCGATTGGAGGGCACATTTTGGCTCATGCTTCCACCACACGTTTGAGTTTAAGGAAAGGTCGAGGTGAAATGAGAATTGCTAAGATATTTGACAGGTAATTAAAGATCTTATGTCAGGGTTCCCACACATTCTGGAAATCCTGGAAACTAATTAGAAAAAGGACCAAATGTAATGGAAAATCTATCTTTTGTTCTTGAAAATCTCTCCTCACTTTATCTTGCTGTATTACTAGATGCTGTTAATGCCATCATAGTAAAAAAGTGAAAAACCTCTAAAACCTGCCAAATTGCAGGAAATAACACCTCTTTTGTGTAAAATGTCTAAATATAAAATGCAATCCTACCACAATGCACAGTGAATGTAATATCATATAAAATGCTATTATAATTTCTTTGGGTCTTTCTCATTTCTCGTAGCCCTGACATGCCAGAAAATGAGGCCACATTTGCCATCACTGCTGGAGGTGTTTCTGATGCAAAGGAGTGAAGAAGAAAAAAAATCCTATCTTTAAACTATTTATTAATATCTTGTATTTATTCTAACATTATTTATTGTGATTTTTAGTCTTTATTTGTTCATGTTATTTAACGGTTATAAAATACATGTTATTTTTCATGCAATTGTTGTCATGTATGTTGTCCTGTCATGATAAGTTAAATGGACTAACTAATGTTATTTCCTCATTAAACATATATCTGAAGCTTGTGTTTTGTTCACACTTGTTTGATACACAAAGCTCACAAGAGTCAGTTTGGCATAAAATATGTCCTTTAATGTGAAACACTGATTTATAGCAGTATTATTACTCCACTCTCCCAGCCCAGTACAGCCGTGGTACAGTGGTGGGCTCTAGCGGTGGCAGGCAGACGCAGCGGCTGTAGAGCACTTCTCGTCCGCTGCGAGATCCATATGCTTCACCAAAGCCAGGCTTAACAAAGCAATGGGAACTTGTTCAAACGTGCTGCTACGAGTCTGAATCAACACACCAGCAAATACACGCTCCTCTCCGGACTCATACGGGCATTAGCCTCTTCTACAGCGGGAAAACTACTCTGAGACGGGAGCGATGGACCCGACAGACGCCCCGGATTCGTGGGAGCTGGAGGAGGATGCCGAGGCCCCGACTGCAGCGGCGGAGCTCCCGGCCGCCTTCGCCTCCCTGAACGTCAACGCTAAACCCTTTGTCCCCAACGTGAACGCTCCGGTGTTCGTGCCCAGCTTCCTCCAGACCAGCACCGTGGACATGCCGGCTTCAGAGGGTGGGTGAATACCGTTACCCGACAGCTGGGTGGAAGTTAGCTTAACTCGCTAGCTCTCCTGCTAAAGAAGCTAAGTTAGCCTGCTCAGTGCCAACTCGCTGTTCTGTACTACCAGTCCATGCTCTAGTCGCCTTTTCACTCATCAACAAGTCACTGTAGGGCTTAGACACGTATTATCACTGTGTAGCAAACATATTTACGACGCAGTAATAGCTCACGACTGTCAGACAAGCCGCCCCATCATTGTGTATTAATAGTGCTGAAAGTTTGATGTGCTTTGTGTCTCTTCCAAAGGTACCGCAGAGCCAGTGGCCAGCATGGAGGTGGCAGACACAGCCGGTATGCGTCCACTCCTAACATGTGCTTTTCATTAAGACTCAGCCTGCGTATACGTGAGGTTATAACAGAGCAAGTGAAGCTTTGGAAAACATAAGAGGTCATGGTCTGAAGGACTCGAGGTGATTTGTAACACTTAAACCATATTCAGAGGCCGGCATTTGTAAACTCATGTGCACTCGAGGGCCTTCTTCATTTAACATGATGCAACCGCCACTCTGCTCCACAGCTCAAAATAGACCTCCCATTGGCAGAAGGGTGTGCTGTCACAGTGCATGTCCAAGGTCCTGCCTCAGATATGCACACCACTGTGTTTCCAAAGACATCCGCAGGGTTTGGTTACTCCGGAGCATTCACAGTTTAGAGGCAACTATGCTGCGACTTACACTAATTTGGTACTTTGAGAAAAACACTCTCTTCTTCTTAAAGTATATAAAAATAGTACCATATAATGTGTAAGGCTGCACAGATACCCCAAAAATATCAATATCACAATATTCGCTGCCTCAGTTATCGTAGTTACAAGAAAATAAATATGATCTGTGCCATTGGCCCCTCTGACCACCACCAACATTCAGACACCACAATTGTACTAGGCAATGTGGGAGACATGTCTTGCCTGAGGACACAACAACAGTTTTTGCAACTGGCGTCCCACTGTGGCACTTGGTATTCCCAGCGGTCTCTCATTCAAGTACTAACCAGGCCCAGCTTTACTTATCCTCTTTGACAAAGAGGTTTGGTTTTGGTTCAGTTTGTGAAATCTTTATTTTTGATCCAGTTTGACTGGTAAATGAAGGCATGTGCATTTTAGCTTTAATGTAACTGAACGTATTATACTCATGTCGTGCAGCCCTATTCATAACCATTTATTATTATCTGTTTCATAATTTACAATGCCATGCAAAGATAATACAATTGAGGTGGTGGCTTGTTACTGGTCCAAATAAATAAATGACGAAGTTGACAGCTCCCGCCTGTACTAGTTTAAATGAGGAGTAGTGAATGTAAAGTTATTCACCATTGTACCTGATTGCTTGAGTGCATTTCCTAGTTTATTTATGTGTACGATATTGGTTAGGTACTGTGTGTGAGATCTCCATGTCGTAACTTTTGCCAACTGCTTTACAACATTAATTAATTTAATCTATATCAAGTCATTCATTTTATCCTCTAAATGTGAACTCTGGTCTGTTTAACAAGATACTTCTGATGCACTGAGGACAAACTCAGAATGACTCATTGATATACAGAGACTGCGGCAGTTTAGCAAAAAATATTGTAGCTAAACATCAGGGAATTTGTCAGTCCCTCCATCTCAAGTTAATCAAATTGTAGAACATGAGCGCAACCTATTAGCACAGCAATATTATCCATCCAGAGTTGACAGTGTCTCAAATGTTTTATACCAGCTCTATATTTATCGCAATATTCATAAGCATGGACAAAATTAGTATTCTTTTACAACTTGCAAGATTAGAATTTTGGTATCTTGGGCTAGATGAGATGTTTTTGAAAGCAAATAAATATTGCACATTTCCAATTGAAACTAGATTTGCTATACTTTTAATAATAAACCTTTTGGAGCTTTTATAATAATGTTATAATTCTGTTCCCTGATAAAAAACATGCCCGAAGAGGTTTTCCATGCATTTTTGAGTAATCTAGCAATCTCCCCTGGGCCCTATTTGAACCCTCCTTATGGTTAGCAGTACAAATCTGTACAAAGCTCAGTCCACAAGCCAACATCACCCATACACTCACACCGCAATTCTCCGTTAATATACAGAAGAATGATACAAAACAATACACTACAATGTCATAGCAATTTTCATAGCAATATTCACATTGATTGTAATGTGATAACGCTCTGAAAGGGGAGTGACTTAGCGCTCAGAGCAAAGGGGAGACTCAGAGTGCCAAAAATAAAAATGGAACTTATTAAATATGTTAATAAGCTGTTTTCGGCAAATACAGCTTTTTCAAAATAGTAAAAAATAATATGGTGGTCAAAATATGTTATGTGTTAGCAGTTAATACACCGTAGAAATAAAATACTCTTTCTTTAAGATTCCTCAATTTACCTTTGAGAGAACACTGAAATGCAAACTGCTAATTTGCTAAATTGACACAAATATCATCTAAACAACATAATTACTTGAATCTTTTGTGTTTTGCCTTTTCAAATCTCAATTGTAACTCTTCTGACTATGTGACTCATGTATTTTGTATAGCCCCAGTGGAGAATGGAGGCACCGAGGCGGACATGACAACAGAGGAGGAGACGTGGGAGCAGAAGGAGGAGCCCGGCGGAGGGGGCGGAGGCGGGGGGCAGGGGGATGCCGCTGGGAAGGAGGATGAGGAGATGATGGAGGAGGAAGAGGAGGAGATGCCTGTGCCCAAAGTGGCCCCGCCGCCTCCAGACGCCCCCAAGAAGGAGCACGTCAATGTGGTCTTCATCGGACACGTCGGTATGTGTTGTCATGATACTAAATAGACTTGATAATCAATACCCAGGCCGATACCACAATGATAATAAAAAACATTATTTCTTTAGACAATAGAATGTGATTTTCATTTAAATAATAGTGCTTTCTTTTATATTACCGTGTGGCCTTACATGTGTGCAATCTCTCAGTCGTCTAGGTAGGTTCCATGTTCCATGAGTGTACACTAGTCTATGTGCTCTTATACTTGTTCTTAAGATATTCAGGAAAGGTTCATTTCTGTCCTGTGAATGTTCCTTTTTTTAGTGTTGGCATCTGGTCAAATGAGTATCCAGTTTCAACATTAGTTTTAATATCGATTAATTTTGGTACTTAGTACTATCAATACTAGTTTTCGACTTTTGACAACCCTGATATGTAGTATATAGATAGGATTGGGATTTCTTATTAAATAGATTTGTGAATTTAATTTTTTATAAGGGATTTGAAATGGAGGGCAGCTCTGAGCATGTATCAACAAGTCTAACTAACAGCTGCTGGTTTCTTACCTGTTCTTGAGTGTACCAAGTTGAATAGATAAACACTGCAAACCGTTAGTGTTCATTTTCACAAGAAATTTGAATTGAGCTTTAGTCTTAGTGCCTTGGCCAAAGCAAATTTTAGTTTTAGTCAAGATTTAGTCAAATAGCTGTTTTTAGTTTGAAAGTGATAGTATGTAACTTTCTGGATGTGGCAAGTTCCCTGCCTGATTCCATGGAATTAGAAAATTAAACCATACTTCAGAACATTCTGCATAGTGATAGATAGGTTTTATGACATATTGTGGAATATTATGGCCAAAGGAACATTTCCAGGGAAACAAGATGGAGATCTTCCAGGCCAAATAAGAGTCAGGTTTGTGGAGATAGACACATGTTTTTCAGTGCAGTTAAAACATCTATAATGAAAAACTTTTTTTTGACAAAATATATACATACTAAGGCTTTAATCTAGCTTTAGTCATCAAAAATGTCATGCCTGTTATGTAGACCAAATCCACTCCAATGCAACCATTTTAGTTGAGCATAAAATATGTTTTTCTTTCCAGATTTCCAGTATGATAATTTATATGACTTGTTGTTCCTTGGATGTTGTTTATGGTCTGGTTTAGGGCTTTGGGATTAGAGAGTGAAACTTGGATCTTGTTTGTTCATTCATTTATGTTTTGTTTTATTATTCAACAAAAATATTAGAACTTCTAAAGAACAACAAAATGTAGTTTTAGTCAGACAGTTTATTATGTTTTTTTTTATCTGGTTTTAGTCAGCAAAAACAATTTTAACAACTTACAAGACATAGTTTTACATTCCTATTATTTAATTAAGTATTTGACGAAATGTGGACACTTTCCTTTTCAGATGCTGGTAAATCAACCATTGGAGGTCAGATCATGTAAGTCCTGTGTAGTTTTAATTGCTGCTACATATTTGTACTCTATATTTAGAGACGTAGTTGTAATAGAGTCACCTGTTGCACAAACTTAGCAGACAAACAGGTTGATTCAGATTCTAATTGTAGTTTTAACCTTGACCTGATAGCAATGACACAAAGCAAATACAATCACATGTTTAAATTATGCATTCATTGAATTATATATCTTCTGTAGGTACTTGACCGGAATGGTGGACAAACGAACATTGGAGAAATATGAGAGAGAAGCTAAAGAGAAGAACAGAGAGACCTGGTGAGCGCGCCTCCTCTCTATTGTTTGACAGTAAATAATCGCTGATAGGCTTCATGTTCTAAAAGACCACACGCCCACGCACCCTTTTATTTAGAGTGCTCACGTTGTATTTTTAATTCAGGTATTTGTCGTGGGCCCTGGACACAAACCAGGAGGAGAGGGACAAGGGGAAGACAGTGGAGGTGGGGCGTGCATACTTCGAGACAGAGAAAAAGCACTTCACCATCCTGGACGCACCCGGACACAAGAGCTTCGTACCAAACATGATTGGAGGGGCATCACAGGCCGATCTGGCAGTGCTGGTACAAATATGATGACTTCTAATAGCATGCATTAATGATGTTCAAGAATGGGAGAATTTGGAGAAACTTTTTTAGTGGAGAGTCTGTCACCTGCTTGTCTCCTTGGAGATTTAATTATTTATTGCTATGCCTGCAATGTGCCATAGTATGAAGCATATCTATCTAGTAACAATAATATTAATACCATACACTTGAATGCACTTGTAATGCACTTCACAGGCTAGTGAAAGCCTTTATTAGCACTACATTATTCATGCATTCCACACTCAATAGTGGTAAGTTGCTATTGTAACCACAGCTGCCCTGAGGCAAACTGATGGAAACAAGACTGTCAGTCTGTGCCATTTGTTTTGTATGGATCTGAACAAATTCACTTCTCCATAGATCTGACTTGTTACTTCATCTGGTGGCTACACATGCTTGTCTCCATGAAGATAAGAGAAGTTTGATGTTGTACTATAGAACATGCCAGACAAACCAATAACTTGTGCATTAAGACAAATAGGTGGTGCACCTTCCATCAGAGAAATCACACGGTGCACTTTAAGATGTACCTGTGTGTTTGAACAATACCATCATCTTTTATAATATCATGAGATTTTTTCATTATTGTCCGAGAATGCACTGGACTTTATGCCAGTTTTTGTTTCATGTGAATAGGCCCAATTAGAGAGAACTATGAACCGTAAACCAGATATAAACATTTTAATGACCATACAAATCTAACTGGAATGCTGTGATGTCATGTGAACTTACCCTCTGGCTCTTTTGTCTCATGGTACTTTTATTTTATGCATGTATTTTCTCAGGTGATCTCAGCCAGAAAGGGCGAGTTTGAGACGGGCTTTGAGAAGGGGGGGCAGACAAGGGAACACGCCATGCTGGCTAAAACTGCCGGAGTCAAACATCTCATTGTCCTCATCAACAAGATGGATGACCCCACTGTCAACTGGAGCCTGGAGAGGTGAACACACTAGTATTAGTAACACATTTAGTTACTGTACTAAGAAAATAGGCAAGGGCCAATATCTAATCTATGACCAGTAAAAATCAGATAACTTATCAGATTAACACTTAGATCTGACTTTTGGTGTGTGTTTTCACATTCACAAAAGAACATAAAAAAGACACACCTGGTGACAGTTAATCAATGGATCTGAAACTGAAAACACTCTGTTCCACCTTGTGATGTCATACTGTAATACAGGAAGTGCTCCCCTTTGTTTTTTAACTTCATACACCTTCACTAGAATCATTTTGATAATTTCAGCATTGGAATTGTCAATCTTTACTGACCAAAAAGGTCAAATGTAGCTATTAACTTGATAGCTACCAGTATGTGACATCACAAGGTGAAACAGAGCATTTTAAGCTTTGGAGATATAGACAGACTAATAGGAAAGGGTTACTCAAATGTGTGAATGAAACAAAACAAAACGCCAGGTATGTTGTTGAAAAGTAACTGCATTATAACATGTCTTAAAGCTCTCAATAATCCATTTAATGTAATATAGGACCTTTAAAGAGAAAGTCAAATGAGTTTTTAAAAAAGTTGGGATTTTTTTGTCTTGTTTTTCTTGTTAAAACCGGCAGGTGTGAACAATCAAAAGAAATCACACTTCTCATATCGTACGATCACTGGCTTTGTTTACATGCACACAAAAATCGGATTATTATCAGATTTCTGGTGTTATGAAAATTTTTGGTATTTGAGAAGTTTCACATGCTATGATACTGATCTATTTAACTTTATCATCGCAATGCATTACAAAATATGTAACCTACAAATAAGTTTTATATTTTATCCCATCTTACCAGACCATGTGATCACCTCCGTATTTATTTTTGTCTTGCCTTAAAGATACGAGGAATGTAAGGAAAAGCTGGTGCCATTTTTGAAAAAAGTGGGCTTCAACCCCAAGAAGGACATCCACTTTATGCCTTGCTCTGGACTCACTGGTGCCAACCTCAAAGACCCGGTGCCGGAATGCTCCTGGTACACGTAAGTCTCCCTTTAAACCAACAGAAAGTCAGACATTTTGTGTCATGTGTTGTCTTGTATGTATTAAAACAGGTGCATGACAGGTTAGACTACTCATGCCACTAAAACATGATTAGATCTTGATAAAAAAAAAAAAGCTTACTTAGTTTTCCACTTGCAGTTTATAATTTTACTTTCTGATTGAACATTTTGTTAAAAATTTAAATTGTGTTCCTTGTTCGTAAATGGATTTTTGCACTTTTAGAATACTGTGTATTGATGGCATAGATGGAGGAATTCTTTCTTTAGAACTCAGCTGCCACTAATGTAAAACTATCATGAATATTGACCACAAATACCATACCACCAGTACTTATAAAAACATAGGAAGTTGTCATATGCACTTTACGCATCTGTTAATGGAGAAATAATGGAGAAATAATTAGACTCTGTTGTGTTATCAGGGGATTGCCATTTATACCCCACCTGGACAGCTTGCCAAATTTCACCAGATCCAGCGATGGGCCTGTCAGACTGCCAATAGTAGATAAGTATAAGGTGAGTTATATGCTATTCTGCTTTTGGTATCCAAGAAGCTGCTTTGATCCTCCGCATATCGCTCTATTTTCGCTTCTTTATAGATCATTCATTTTCTTGGCTTGGTCTAAACCTTGGATGTGTTACACACATTTCTTACCATGTTAATCAGATTAGATTTTCTTTCATTTTTTGTCAAACGTCTCCTCTGTGGTCGTGTCTAATATGCCAATGTCTTGCGGTTGCATAAGAGCCTTATGTAGTGTTATATGACTAAGAAGTCCCCACTGGTGTTGGCCTGATGTAACAGGATTATGGCTAACTGGATGCTATGCTAATTTCCATCCATGCTACATTCTATCCACAAGAAGCACCCATACAGAGCTGTACTTAAACCTCAAAATAGATCTGTTTTATACCTGAGCATACAACTGTTTGATTCAGTGTTATTCTAGTCTGACCATCACAGATTAAATGGTAAGATGTTGTTTACTCCGCTTCCCCCCTTCAAACTTTAGACAATTTGACAAAATGAACAATTTGCATTGGGTTAAGCCATGAAATTGCTTTTTTCTCATATTAGATTGGGCAACATATTTTTATAACTTGATCATCTTGATCTAAATCTAAATTGTAATCCCCATCTATATAGAATACTAGTTACATTTAAGTGTTGTGTAAAATGCCATTAGATCAACAAATATTCGCTACTGTCTACATACAGGCTTTACATTACAAACTTAAATCCAGTTTGCATATCAGATTTTTGCATCCCAATTGTAGCAGCTCACACAAGCCCCTCTTTGTTTATCAACGCTTTTCCTCTATTAGACAAATGGCACATTCCCAGATCAGTGGAGCAGAAGACATGTGTGCACTCTTTACATTATGTGTGTATTTGCAGGACATGGGCACAGTGGTCCTTGGGAAACTGGAGTCAGGGTCCATCAGCAAAGCCCAGCAGCTGGTCATGATGCCAAACAGGGTAAGGCTCCTATAGACTAGACCAGACCAGAGCAGCCCTTCTCCTGGGGTGGAAAAAAGAGGATTCTGTTACTGCACCAGTTTGTGTTTCAGCAAAGGCTCGTGTTTCTTTAAGGAGAAAGATTTAGTCCAAAGACACACACAACTCAACTTTTATTACATTTCTACTTACATGTCTGCTGATCCAGATAAAATTGAACCTGTCAAAGTGAAGTGGAGATATACATATCATAGATAAGAAGTTTAACATCAAATTAACCAGTTCATAAAACAAATGAAACCAATAGCATTACTCTATACACCAATACTAATGGGATCACCTAGTGCTAATTTGACAACTACAGCTTTTATATTAACAGAGCAGACTCAGTAGAACGAAGGAACTATGGTATACTAAAATATATGATAAAAAATGACACAAAGCGAAAGTGGTTTTATAACCAAATAGTTTCAAAATGAACAACTGAATTTTGATATTTTATACTACTGTTTAGATTTGAAGTGTGCTCAGAATGTACTGTTCAACATTATAGTAGTATTAATACAACTATAATAGTATTAAGTCTAGACAAGTGGTTTCTGAAGTGCGAGCTACAAAGCACTTAGCAAGTGGTCAAGAAATTACTTGAAAAGCAGATAGAACTGTTCAATTATTATGTTCATGTTTTATTTAAAATGTGTGTAATTATGTAAAGTAACACAATAAACTAAAATAAATACAGTTAAACCATGTACTGCAACTTAAAATCATCAGAAGAGTCAATTTAATTTTGCTGTAGAAGTCCTGGCAGGTTGTAATCTTATTTTAGTAGCACATATTATGCAGATCTTTTGAGTCAAAAGCTGCTGAATGCCACTCTACACTCTTTACCCCTGTTTCACTCTAAAGCCTACAGACCAGAATATGCTAATGAAAATGCTCTTATGTTATCCTTATGTAAATGTTGCAATAATCAAAAATACATATTATCACATTGCTCATATTTATTTTTGATCACTTACTATAACTGCCGTTCATATGCTTTTGAACTGATCCATCATCCATCTCTTTTCTCTTACATGTAACCCCCCCATCTGTCCCTCAGCACACAGTGGAGGTGCTGAGCCTGCTGAGCGATGACGTGGAGACGGACGACGCCGCCCCGGGAGAGAACTTGAAGCTGCGTCTGAAGGGCATCGAGGAAGAGGAGATCCTGCCGGGCTTCATCCTCTGTAGCCCCGACAACCTCTGCCACTCAGGGCGCACCTTCGACGCACAGGTCAGCACAGCGCCATCTGCTGTGTAATCTGGGACAAGACAGCAGGGTTTAGAGGCAATGTTTTAGGAAAATATTTGACTTTCTGAGAATAGGAATTTTACACATTTAAAACCAGGTCTGTCTGTAGAAGGACTGTACCAACACCAATTTTAAGAGTAATGTTATTACTCAAGTAAAAGTCCAAGGGACCAAGAAATTACTCAAGTAAGAGTATCTGATCTAATTTAAATTTTAGGTCAATTTAATTAGACAGACAAAACAAACCATGCATAAAATTTAGTAGATAAGGGTAAGGCAGGTAAGGATGAACACAAAAATTTGAGAAAGTAAATAATATCTTGAAGGAGCGGTGCAAGAAACCCAAATGTGCAAATTATTTA